AAAGGTTTATAAAAATCGCCAAAAAAGTTTTTTTCAATAGTTAATTTCAAGAAAACGGTCCGGTAGATTTTTACCTAAAACTCAGTATCATTCCCATACAAAATCTTTCGAAAAGTTTTTCATTTTTTAAAATTGATTCAGAATTGAAAGCAAAAAGTTTTTTCAAAGTCCACCTAGGTGGACTGATTTGTTTTCACTTTTCTGCTATTTACAAAGAAACGGCTCAGCCGATCGTCGGACAAAACTGAGAAAAGATAATCCACATCGAAATACATCGATTGGCTTTTAAATTTTCGAAATCGTTGCAGGCGTTTTTAAGCGTCGATGAAGGTTCTAATTTTGACAAAAGCCAAAAAACGATACTAATTTTTGCAAACTTTGAGGAATTTTTAAAATTAAACGACTTGTAGGGCCGTAATATTTTAATATGATCATATTTTCATATTCTTTTTTGCATATTTTCTGCCAAGATCTCGTTATGATGTTTGTCACAATACTCCTCCGAAACGACTGAACCGATCTTTACAAAATTTTGAGAATCGCGTAGTAAGGGAATGAAGTAGTAAGGGTTGACCGCTATTAAGATTTTTAAAATTTTGTACTGGACTAATCTTTTGTTTGCAGCCATAAATTTTCACCCTCCTACAACAAACTTCTATCTCACAGAAGTCATTTTAGAATTCGAATAATTTTTCATCCCATTCATTTTTTATTTTGACTAAATTTTAGTTCAGATTTTTTATAAAAAAGCTTAAATTTTACTTGAAAAAACTTTTTTTTAACAAGGGTTGTCTAGCTCTTTCGCTTCTTTAATTTCCTTCATTTTAATTTTTTAAATGCAGAATTGAAAAATACATGCAACTCTAAATTTTGATCCTCCTACCACAAATCTCTATTTCTTAATAGTCATTTTAGTAACCCTCGATAACTGATCAAATATCGTCTTTTTTGTGGAAGTTTTTTTACTGAATTTCGATCAAGACTTGTCTAATATAAAGAAGCTTAAATCCGCTCTAACCGCCGAAACATTCTTAAAATAGATCTTTGATATTTAATTGGCGACAGAAAGGTTACCATGGATAAAACTAGATATGCATCAAATTATTAATTCATTCTTGTTCAATTGTTGATTTGCAGCATCATCCCATTGTACAAATATACACACACAGTACATATTTCATAAATGGCTTACAGAAGGAGCAATTTTAGAAAAAAATTGAATAATAAAATCTGAAGATACAGTTTTTGAGAGAAAACTAACCATAAAAACTACCATACAAACTTATGACAAAGCAGTAAATTTTTCCGAATAGCTCAATTCGCTATGCAAGCCACAACATAATTAAAAAATGTTCGGATTTTGCTTTATAATTAAAAATAATAATGAATTCAAGAAAAGCACGGTAATAATGGATCAAATTGTGCTTTCAATTCAATTTAAATGGAATCAGTTTCAGTTTAGGCTGGCACTTGCATTGACTATTTATTATGTCCCGGGAACATTTATATGTGGCAAGCGATGCAGTGGGTAAACCACCAATTGAATTTGTGTAAGCCCTTTTCACTTATATACTATTCAGAATCACTTGTATGATTTTTATACTAAAAATATTCTAGAATAATTGTTTATGGCTAAACAACGTTTGTGTGTATGTGTGTTTGTATGTACTTTATTTGAATAGACTTTACCAGTTCATTGTGTCTCAAAAGCAAGTTTTCTTAATAAACCTAAAACACGTCAATTCTCATTATTACCTATGGTGCATAAGAATAAATTGACACAGCCATATCATTTACAAGTGAGTATAATAGTGTATAGAAATACATACAAAAATATATAGGTGTACCCCCAAGTTTTTACATTAAAAGTTCGTGCGGTGTTTGGCGTATTAGAGTATTAAAAACGATTTGATAAGATCTCAGTTGAATACTTAGTCCAGTATTATTATATAAATAAATATATAGACGCGCTCGCTCGCAAAGTGGCATGATTTGTCGTTGTGCCCTACTTGCCCCTACTGGAGACACTTTTTTTCGTTTCCACGGATAAAAATCAAGTCGAACCATTTGGTAATAGGCCTCATACAAATAATAGAAATGATTTTTGATAGGACATTTTAAGAAAATGTGCGAGTCTATCTTAAGGGCGAACAATCTCATGTCTTTGTTTCGTACATTCAAAAGGAGAATTATATGTTTTCGCCAGAAAATCCGATGTGCCTATTATATGGTCTCTCGACGTTTCAAGTCATTCGCAGTTATTCTACACCAAAATTGAAAATAGTATGTAAATGAGCCAAAATTGGACTTTTCATCAACATTTTCTCTAGAACGAATGCACCGTTTTTAAAGGACTCACGTTGTTTTGCGCAACTATCGGCCGAGCCTGTTCTGTTAAGATTCATGAAATAATTTAAGAATATTATATTATTAACTTCTCGTAGGCTAAGTTATAGTAATATAAAAAATCAAAAATGAATTATTTTATATATCTTCAGTTTTCTGAACATTCTGGCATACCTTAGAAAAAATGGATGTAAGTGTGTGTGTATGTGTGTGCGGATACAAATTTTCGTCGACGATTTCGCGAACACGGATCAACCGATTTGGATAGCTTAAAAAATATTCGATTCCTACCGATAGGGAGATGTGCTGATTAGTTCTTCGCAAAGGTAGGACTAGCCGTTTCGGAGATACGGGGCAAAAAGTGCCAAAAATGATATTTCAGTTTTTAAATTTAAATAATTCAAAAAACATTTTACTTGTATTGACGAAATGAACAACTGGTAAAATTTTTGTAAATGCAGGTCCAGCGTCTTCGGAGATCCAATAAAAAAAGTAAAAAATAATGCCATTTAGCGGGCAAAAATGAACATTTGATATATGTACATCGTATTATCAGATATTTTATAAAGATTATAATGATAAGTACAAATTTTGTGTACATTTATATGAGTTATGAACCAATGTTGACACGTTAGACGACTACGCGGCGCTTACGCGCTTTGATATTTCTGGTCTAAATCAGCTATGCAGCGCGATTGCTTAAAAATAATGTTCGAAATTTTCAAAAAAAATCAAAATACAAAAACAAAAAATCAAAATATAAAAACAAAAAAAATTTTCCATGAGTCATTTTTCTTCAAAAATTTCAAAATTTCTTAAAAATCTAATTTTTCAAAGTTTTGCAAAGTTTTTTTATTTATTTAGATTTCGTTACGGGAAGTTCCAGCAATTTGCCTTAAGGCACGATGCCATGCACTAGTTATAATCGGAAAGTTTCTGCAACTTGACCTAAGGCAAAATGCTACTTACAATATTCTTATTTTCTTTTTAAATATATACTATATATAACAAATAAGTGCCTCTTGTAGCATTGATATCACAAGTGTTATGTATAATTTTTATGTGTTTTTTGATTGATATGTTAGAAAATATGTTAATTTTTTTCCAGGACTCAGTGTTTTCCTTTCAATTAACAAAATTGAACACTGGCGTAACGAGATCATTGATATTTTAATAACATGTCATGGCCAAGGAGAAAAATTTTAAACGCCGTTTTTCACCATATCATTTTTCATGAAAACATGTTACGACCGTCGGAAGGCCCGACACGCACGCCATCAGAGTTCACATATTTCTTTGATTACAACAAATATATTACATTATTTTTAATTGTCAAGGGTAGTTGGAAAATAAATTACCAACTGATTACATTTTCATACGTTTTATTTTTGGCAGACCATGTTTTGTGAAAGATCTTAATAGTGAAGGTAACGATATGTTGATTATGGACGTCATAAAAGAACCACATGAGATAAGAAGATTGACTAAAATCTGAAATAGTTATGTTTGGGGCTAAAGAGCAAAAATTTTAAAAGGAGTCTTTAATTATTAATATTTACTATTTAAGGGAGGTTGAGTACGGTTGTGCCACTTTTTTTTTAATTAGCAGTAATTTACCAGTTAACTGGGAGAAAAGTTTGTTAAATGGTGATTTGAATACTAATACTGTCTGTATTACAAAACATAATTCTTTTGTCTTCTTGTATTGAATTTTCTTTTTTTTTTCTCTTTCATGTTTGGTCTTATTGTTAGTTAAGTTAGATTTTTCTTTATATGTTTAAATTTTACCCAAAAAGGATAAGAAATAAATGCGCAACATATACATATCACATAAAACAAAACTAATTGCAGGTAATTAACTGATAATGTAGAACTTATAGCAAAATAACAAACGGAGTGATCCATATGTATATAAGTAACAACTATTATTAAAGAAATTGAAAAAAAGCTTACTTTTAGCTTTTTCAATGCAATTTGGTTTACAGATCATGTTAATATAGGATGCTGGCTTAATGCAATAATAGAAACTTGTTTGAACAATACTTTATCTTTCTTTCTTTTAGCATAAGTATGATTTAGGTGTCATGGCGACTGTCACTACCGTACCCACTCTCCCCTATTTAGAAGCTAAAGGATTTTTTGCTATAAGAATACCACAAGTAGATACAAGAAAAAATTGTTTTATTGTTTTATAATATATTAACTAATGAAAGTGTTGATTGTTCCATAATTAATTACTAATCATCACCAATATTATTTTTCATATATGATTTTCGTACTTGTAGAAAAAGTATAGAAAAACTTATCATAATCGTCCAATAAAAAAATAATCCTAAAATTCACAGGTTTAAATCACTTTTACAAAAAATATTGTTCTTGTGTTGACAAAGTGAAGAATTGATTTACATTTTTGTAAGAGTTCAGCAGTTTTCGACTTGTAGGAAAGAAGGTTAAAAAATTGACATTTTGTGGATCTTTTCCGATCATCGTTATTTATATGCATTTTTTTGTTTTGCTTTATTTTTCATAGCAATCCAATTAGTAATGACAGTATCGCGTTCGGCTTATGTTTTCGTGTTCAAATCTCGACCAGTTGAGCAAGTAAACGCTATCAATTTTTTTCTAACATAATTGTTGATTGAATGCGCAAAAGAATGGATAAATTAAGAACCGATGATATCAAAAAAGCAAAGGATACTCGAACTGGGGTGACGAAGCAAACGATCCGTAGAGGAGTTTGGCAATATTTTGATGCAAACCAACAACTTTCACTGTTCCCGCGTCCAGTGTACAACAGGATCCCAAACTTCAAGGGAGCCTTTGATGCTGCGCAGAGATTGTCTGATCTAGACGTCTTCAAACAGGCTAAGACCGTTTTAGTCAACCCAGAGAAGTCCTTAGAATTAGTAAGAATACTGGCTTTAAGAAAAGGTAAACAATTAGTAGTCCCTGCCCCTCGATTACAATTTTGCTTACTAACCAAATTTGATATGCCTGAGAACAACTCTAGGTACCACTTACGAAAAGCAGTCAGTCTTAGAGGATTAAGTGAAGCCCCACCTGTTGACATGAACACCGAAATCAATATTGATTTACTGATCATTGGATCTGTTGCAGTGTCAAAAAACGGTTTGCAAATTGGTATAGGTCGGGGTTACACCGATCTCGAATTTGCAATTATCCAGCATATTAAAGCTCTTACTCCAAATACATTGATCGTAACGTTAGTGCATGATTGTCAGGTGAAAGACAATATGCCCAGCACATTGTTCGAGGCTCATGATGTGCCAGTAGATGTAATAGTAACCCCGACCAAAACCATAATGGTTTCAGACCGACCTCCGCGGCCAACTCACATAATGTGGAATTTGATATCTGAAAGGCGTTTAAATACTGTAAATGCCTTGAAGAGAATAAAAGAAGATGAAGAGGCAGCTGGAAAGAAGATCGTGTTAAAAGAGGTAGACACTGAGCATGAAAGCGTGAAGAAAGTAAGAGTTCCCGATAAATTTAACCAAAGAAAGAGGCCCAGTAATTCGGCAAAGAATAGCGAATCAGAGCCAAATGAGGGTGATGGTGATGCATTTGTGCATAAACGCTACGGACGTAGATTTAGAGGACGACGTGTCTCTGAAATGGAGGACAACGACTTATCTGACGAAGATGGCCAAACCAAACGCGATAATTTGCGAAAGAGGAGCACGCCTAGAATGGAGACGCAGATTGCATTTAGCGTAAAGTTGGGAAACCTTGCAAAAACCGATCGTGTTCGTGACATTAAGTCTGCTTTGGCAAAACGTGGTGTGAAGCCCTTTGATATAACATGGAGAGGAGTGGAAGGTTTTTGTTATTTGCATTTCGCAAAGAAACCTCCAGGTGTGGACTCCCTTGGAGTAGACTCTATTATCAAAACACTTTCTGGTATGAAAGTTGGCGGCAGCCAAGTAGAAGGAACTAACTTTCGCGAACCACATATTTTGACTGTGCAGCCTACTAGGCCAATCACAGGATTTAAATAATAGATGTGACTGCCGTATAATTTAATTAATTTACCATCTCAAAATTATAGTATTCGGGAACTTACTTCTAATTTTAAAAACCAGATATATTGTTACAGAAATGTAATTTCTGTTGATAAATTTTTTTTGCTTAATAAAAATTCCAAGTCGAACTAATTGTGTTGGTTTGATTTCTAAAAAATGTTTATTAT